CGAGAGGGCGTGTCAGCCTCTGCGCCGGCCCTCCCCCCTCCCCACCCCATGCCCTTGGGGTTTCCTCCCCAGCTGGAACATCTGCTGGCATATGGGCTGGAGAGGTGACCCGGAGTCCGGTCGGCCTGGGCTGCAGGGTGAAGGGGACACCTGCCATGGCCGGGGCTGGGGGAACATGGATGCCTTTCGGTGCCCTTGGCGTTGCACAGGGTGGTCGCTGCCTCAGGCCCTAGGGGCCAGCCCAGGAGGGCTGGGCCAGGCTGCCGCTGGGCAACTGTTCCTTCCCAGCCCTGAGTGGGAAAGCCCCAGCGCAGGTCTCGCAGCTTCCGCGTGTGAAAGGAGCATCTGCAGCTCCGCTTTCTGCGCGCCAGGGTCACTCCCAAGTGCGGGACAGTGGGACCGTGTAAAACAGCCAGAATTTGCCTTTGAAGAAAAAAGTAAAACTACCATGTATTTCCTTACTCACGTTTCAGCTAATTTCAGCTTGAACAACTGTCATAAAGAACCTTACTGACATGAGTGTTGGTAAATTAAGTTCTTAACTGTTGCAGTAATTAACCAAACCTCAGTATCAGTCTTGTGACGTCACGCTGTTAAGAAAGCTGCGTGTCTGCCCCGCCGTCGGTGTCTCGCTGGAGACCGCTGCGTCCTCTAGGCTCTGGGGCCATCTCTGTACTGGACTGAATTAACGTGTGGGGGAGTTACAAGTGCAGCTGGTCTCAATAGTCGTCTTTACATCTAAGCGTTAAATGATCTCAAGGAGCCAGAGACGCTTCCAGCTGCTGTCAGGCGAAGGCCTTGTTGATGGTTGCAAGGAGCCACAGGCCTGCCTGGCCACTGGACCCCGGCAAGTCCTCACGGGAAATGCCCCCTGGATGAGCACGTGCCCCGGGCGTGGCCTTGGGTGGCCCCGAGTCCAGCAGGGGCTGCCAGTGGACACAGCTGTGTGGCAGGGCTGTTCCCTAGGCAGCCGGCTCTGTGCGGCTGCCCGGGCTCTCTGAGCAGCCCGTGTGCCAGGCCTGCCATGGGGATTGGCAGTGTGGCAGCTCCGACACTCCTGGCAGATCCAACTTCTGGGGCTTGTGCCAAGGCCAGCAGTCATGGTAGAGGCGGAGGCCATCCAGGGGGCCAGGCAGGACAGCACCCAACTCCCTGCCACAGCACCCCCGGGCAGGCACCTGGGCTGAGACCCGCAGTCACCAGAGTGCCCTGGAGAGGCTACCGTGAGCGGGTAGTGCCCTTCCCCGCAGTCCTGGGGGGGACTGCACACCCTAGAATCCTCCCAGCCAATGCGCTCCTGCCCGGAGCCACAAGCCCCCAAAGCAGAGCGACCACTGGGGCCTGCCGTCCTGGACCCCAGGTCTCCGGCAGGTCCCAGCGCTCACCCCATTGGGTCTTTCAAAGTCAACTAGTGGGCTGTCTCTTATACACATCTGTGGGTGCTTTGAGTGTAAATGCACTAGGTGCAGCGGCCACCTGTGGGCCCTGGGTCTTCAAGAAAGGACGGGATGGTCCCCCCTGCCTTGTAGAGTGGGTAGGGACTGGCATGGCCAGAGCCCCTGACGCCAGAAAGACTTCGGGAAGAGCCTTCCCTCCACCTGCACAGAAGGTGGGTCCTAAAGCCCCCGCCCCTAACACAGCTCCCCCGCCTCCCTCCAGGAGCGCAGCGGCCCTTCAGAGGCCAGGCCCCTCTTTGGGAAAGTGGCCGCCTTTGATGTGACCTGGCGGGTCAGGCAGCATGGGCATGAGGGACAAGCAGCCCCGTGCCGCAGCGTGGACAGCTCTTGGCTGGTCTGTGCTGGTTCTGGGTGCGTGGAGGGCTGAGGGCAGTCTGGGCACGTGAGGAAGCTGTGACGCTGACTCAGGCCTCGAGCAGGAGGCTGGGCTCGGCCTCAGGCCCTCAGGTGTCTGAACTGGACAGGCGTGGGCTGTGCGAAGGAGGCGGCCCTGGCGAGCGGAACCCAGCAGCCAGTGTGCTGTGGGTATACATGGCGTCGCCCTGCCCCTTGGTGCGGCTCCTCCACTAGTCATTTTCATCATTTAAGAGTGGTGTTTCTAACATATATATTTCTAATAAATATAAATTTAATATTCCGTCTCTAAGAGCCTGTCTCTCCAACTCAGCGCCAGGCGTCCGGCGTGCTGACTGCGGCAGCCCACCCTCCTGGTGGGCGCTGGCGGCCGCAGGCACCATGGACCCTGGGGCTGTATTGGTGAGACTGTCAGCCGGGAAGTGGTCCCTGAAACGCTGGCCTGTCTGCTGAGTTGGGGCTAGAAAGGACGAGGATGCATTGGGGAGGGAGCAGGGACAGCCTGAAACACCCCCAGCAGCCCTGGCGCCCACGGGATCACCCTGGAGGACCATCTGGTCTCGGTCCCCGCCCCTCCTGGCCTCACCCTGGCCTGTCCTTCCCCAGTCTGCAGGAGGTAACCTGCAGGCACCAGGAGGGGTAGGTTCTGGCCACCAGACTCCGTGGCCTCACCGATGTCTGCCTGGGCCCTGGCAGCCAGTCCCAGTTCTACACCACTTGTCCCTCGACGAGAGGCCCAAGGTCCAGCTATTTGTAACACACCCCCACTACACACACACACACACGCACACACACACACACACACACACACACACACACACACACACTTCTCCTTCACCTGTCAGGTAAATGAAGTTTTCAGGCTCTTTCTGCTCTCGCACTAGCATGGCTGCTGGGCCAAGGGGTGTGGGCGGGCGCCTGGGGCCAGAGAACTAGGGTGTGGGTGCGGCCCCTGCGCCAGAGGCTAAAGGGCAGCGCCCACGGAGATGAGACCAAGAGACAAGGGCTCGAGAGAGCCCAGGGAGGGAGCGCACAGCTTCATGGGGGGCTGGTTGCCTCCCTGCCCCTCCCCGGGGTGCCTGTGCACCTGGTCCCTGAGAGCTCAGCCACCGAGAGCCCCGGATCCTGTCCGTCTGCCCGGGTAGACAGCGAGCCTGCCTGCCAGCCTGCACCGCCACCATGCCCGGGGCTGCCGCCACCTCACCCCGTGGCCCTCGAGCCACCTGGGGTCTGTCCCACGAAGCACGAGGGGAAATCATAGAAAACCTCAGATGAATGAGCAGAGAGGAGCAAATCTTTATTTAGTGGGTAAAGAGCAGTTTCTCAGAGGCGCAAGAACAAAAGCAAAGACTCGAGGCGGCCAGGCCAAGGGGGACCGGAGACACCGCCTGGGCCTGGGTCTGGGGACATTTAAACCCTTTTTTCTCTGAAGTGTCCTCACCCTGCTTTGTGACCTGCTCTGTCTCCCAGTGGCCACCATGTCGGCCTATTTCCCTGGCTCGTAGAGTTTCTCCTTTTACCTCTCCTGCCAAAGGTCTCTTAAAATTTACTGCCCTTGGCAGCCCTCGTGGATTTCTCTGCCCTTATCTCAGCTTCTTTAGCTCCCGCCCCTGCCTGCCCCTGACGCTGCCAGTTAACCACAACTTGCCCTGGAACTCAGCGCCCCCGGCTGGCGTCCTGGGTCAGGAGAGGCTGAGCTGGGACAGGACGGCCCTGAATTCTGGGGGTCGGGCACCTGCCCTGGGGTGTGGAAAGGCTGGCCCTTTGTTTTCAGTCTTTCCAGTTTGGAGGTGTGCACCGCACCCTCAGCCCAGGAGCCCTGCAGCTGCCTTGGTGACCACCGGGCGCCCGGGGCCATCCTGCTCTCAATCATGGATGGCGGAAACACTCCCCCATGGGGCAGCAACCGGGCCTGTGGCCTGGCCGCTGGGCCGCCCCACATGCTGGTGCACTTGCCCCAGAGGCCGCCGCGGAGCCCAAAGGCCTGCTGTCGTGGCTCCGAGGCGGCCTGCCAAGGGGTGGGGGCTGCGGCCCTGAGGGACGCAGGACCCTGAGAGCATTCCCTCAGGGTGGGTTTATGTTTTGAGAAAGTAAAAAGATGTAATAGAGACCCAGGTGGCGAGACTCCCTGGCTGGCTCCGGCACCATCTTCAGTAGCTGAGGCGGGGGTTGGGGGGGGTACGGGGGCAGAGGATGGGGAGGCATCTCAGGGCGGCCACTGGAAGGAGAAGGCGAGGCTTTCCTGGGCCCCTCAGGGTACCCTGCATCGATGCCCTACAGCTCCCAGAAATCAAGTCAGGGGACATGCTTTGGGGCGACCCACTTGGGCTTTCCAGTCCCGCAGACTTGCCGGGGATGCTTTTCCTGCCTGCTCGGAGCCACCAGCCTGGGGCCAGCAGCCCCGACAGCAGCTGGCTCCCGCCCCCAGCTCCCTCAAGCCCTCCCTGTGCACCAGCTCACTCCTGCCCTTCTCGGCTCCTCCACCCCATGAGGCCCAGCCCCGGGCCCTGCTCACGACCCCTCACCCCACCACTGCTCCCCAGGGCCACCCTGAGATGGAGGCCGCCTGCCCTTCTGTGGCCGCTGCCTGTGGCTCCTGCCGCCCAGCTATCCTGTCCACCACCTGCGGGGGGCAGCAGAGAGTGCGGGGTGGGGGCGGGGCGCAGATATAAGAGTCGTTGCACAAAGCCGGGTGACCGTCTCTTGTCTGGTGTCAGTTTGAGGAGAGGAGAGCCCGCCCGCCGGCAAAGGCTCCGGGGATGTTCCCTCCCACACTTTCCACCGCTCTTGGCCATGGCCCCAGACCGGAGTGCGGGTCTTCTGGCGCCCCCATCGGCGCCCACTAACGGGGCTTGGAGCCCTTGGGAGTCAGGACGCCATGCGCTGCCCACAGGAGACCTTGGAAGCCTGCCCCTGGGACAGCCCCACCTGGTGCTCCGCCGCCCCCCTCTCCCACAGGCCCTCCCCACCTGAGGGGGCTTGCCCGCCCCAGCCCCAATCCCGCCCCAGCTCCCGCTCCTGTGGCTGCCGGGCTGAGGGTCTGGGGCCCCCCTGCGTGTTGCCACTGAAACATTAGGCTGGGCCAGTCTCCCCAGAGAGCTGGCCCTCTGGCGTGCAGCCAAAGCTGAAGCGGAACGGCTGTCAAGACACTGTTTAACTCAGAAAACATGAGGCGCGACCTTACAACCACAGCTTATTCTTTAATAACACAGGGCTCGGGCCTCACCCCCGCGGCCCCAGGCGCTCGCCCAGCCGCACGGCCACGTGGGACTAGCAGGTAAATCAGTTTTGATTCATATAAAAAACTACAAAATATTCTCTGCCCCAAATCCTTAAATTACGAAGAAGAAAGGAGAGCCTGGGACGCGGTGGTTTGACATGTGTATTAGACCCGGCACTCTGTACAGCCGCTGCTGCGGCGCGCGGCCTCGGGCGCCCTCTCTGCGGACCCGGGCATGGGCAGCACCGGGCCTCCCTGGAGGTCTCTGTCCATCTCGGGCAGGCCTGGCTGCGGGGCTGGGGGCCGCGCTCAGCGCCTCCCGCCCTTCCTCCCCAGCGCGGGCAGGCGGTGCTGCTTCAGGCTGCGCCTCAGGTCCTCCTGTGGGTCCGCCTGGAGGGGAGGGGGCAGGCGGTCAGCGAGGCCAGGGGCCGACCCGGCGCCCAGGGGAGCGGGAGGCAGCGCTACCTTCTGGTTTGCGCCCATGAACTTCAGGGGCCTGAGCACTGAGACTCTGCTGTTGGCTCTGGGCCCAAACACGCTGTGCAACGCTGGGCTGGAGTAGGACAGCGTGGTCATGCCTGCTAGCTTGAGCTTGGGGAGTTCCATCAGGTAGGCGGGCCCTGGCCTCCGGGGCAGCTCTTCCTCTGGCTTCACAGACTGCTTCTTGAAACAAAACAGAGGTCAGCCAGACAGACAACGGCCCCTATGGGCGCTGGGGCAACACAGGGCGGCTCTGGCAGGAGGTTGCCTGGCACCGAGTTGGTGGCGAGGTGCAGGCACAAGGCAACCAGAGGGTGCACACGGCACGGCCCTGCCCCAGGCGAGCAGCGGGGGCCAGCAAGGGGCTGTGCCCCGCCTGAGCTGAGGGCCTGGCCGCTGCCCACCTGCCGAGCTAAGGATGGTTTTAAAATTTTTTAATAGTTAAAAAATTCCCTGATATGTGAAAATTGAGACTCAAATGTCAGGGTCCACAGTCCTACGGGTGCTCAGCCCACCATCCCGGCACGGTGGCCCAGGCAAGCCGGAGGCGCGGCCATGGCCACGGCCACCTGAGGGCCGACTGCCGGGCGGGCCCCTCCCAGGCGGGCTCCTCTCAGGCAGGAAGACGTGGGCGGACACCATGGGAGGGAGGGGTGGCCCATCATGGACAGCACTTAGGAGGCCGGTTGTGGCTGTGGGCACGGGTTGGAGCCGGAGCAGCCGGACCTGGGAGGAAGATGGGGCAATCGGGCTTGACACTAAGCGGAGGGCTGGGCAGGCAGCTGGACGCGGCGGGTGGCGTTCCTGGACAAGGGCCTGGCTGCAGATGCGTCTGCACCCACCCTGGTGCACAGTGGCACTGGGCGAGCGCTGGGCACCGTGTCAGAGTGAGCCTGGTGCCAGCCCAGCCCTCGGCCCGGGCTGCACGGGGTTGCGGGACAGCAGGGGCGCCACAGACAGATGCTATTGTCTCAAGCCCAAGAGCAGAGCACAGCCTGTGACGGTGCTGAGCGGAGACAGACTGGGCCAGGGCCCCTGCCCGCTTCCTGGGTCACCCGGGCCAGTGTTTGGCTGCTCCGAGCCCTTGTCAGGGAGGCCCGAGGCCCCGGGGCAGGGGGTGCTGCGAGGTGCTTTGGCACCTGGGCCAAGGGGCAGAGGGGGCCGGCCAGGAGACGGCCTCTGGAGAGGACCTCCACGGAGCCAGGGCCACGCAGGGCGGCCGGCTCGCTGCTTCGCTCAATACCTGCTTCCTGCCCTCCCTTGTGAGACGCCAGTCCTTGCTGAGGAGTTCCGGGGCCGCGGAGTGCTCGGGGAAGAAAGTTCTCCTGTGGCTGGCCAGAGCCTGCTTCTCAGCCGCCCTGGGGAAGGAGGACGGCAGGACACCTTGTGTCTGTCCTGTGGTCACCACCCCTCCACACAGCCTCGGAGGAAGAGCCTTTTCCTCCTCTGTCCCAGCCACAGCCCCGGGCCCTGACGACTCCCCCAGTGCCAGCTGCTGTCTCAGGTGCTCAGCCCCATGGACCTCCTCACCAGGGCGGCTCCGGCCCGAGCGAGCCAGGATCAGCCCCAGGCCCAGCAGCCGCACCCTCTGCTCGCCCCTGCTGGCACCACCTCCTCTGGGGGAGGAGACAGCAGAAAAGAGCCAGGTGGGGGCTGCACCTCCAGGCCCTCCAGGCCCCGGGGCTCAGCAGCCCCCCCACCCCCGCCTACCTCTGCTCTTGGAAGTACGGGTGCTGCAGCGCCTGGTGGGCAGTGATTCTCTCGTCGGGGTCATAGGCCACCATTGCGTGCAGGAGGGAGAGGCACTGCGGGGACAGATTGGCTGTCGATAGAGGTATTCCCGATCCCTTTTTAAAAGGAAAATCAAAACTCATAGCTCTCGACCTGTATTAAAAGCCCAATGACAACAGACAATCGCGCCATTATTCAGAGTTGGTGGTCCGTCCGTCCTGACGCCGCGGGGCTGCGCTGAGGGGCGGCCTAAGGTCTGAAGGGGGCCTGGCCTGAGCGGCCCTCCGTGCCCGGGGGCCTGGAGGCGGCCTGTGGACTGACAGGCAAGGTGCCCAGGGAGGGGCAGCAGGGCCAGCGGGCAGTGGGGCCCCCTGGGCTACTCTCCACCCCATTTTTCTGTGAACCTAAAACTGCTCTAAAAGAGAAAGTGTCTTTAAAAAACGGGGGTGTTGAAATCCGTGCTGTAACCGTAAGGAAACTACTCTTCCTAGAAAAAACGAATGTCACATCCTCGGCTGAGAAGAATGAAATGAAGCTTTAAAAAAGCAAAAGATTCCAAAATAGTTGTTGGCTCCTTAGAGGCAGCAACTGTGGGCGCTTCCTGTGGGGGCCTCCAGGAAGTGCCTGACCCCCACTTCCTCTCTGAGCCTGGGCCTGGAGTCACTGCGTGGAGCCAGAGCCAGGAGCTGCAGGGGCCCCTAGGTCCCCAAGTCCTGCGGACACCTTGGGCTCCAGCACCCTAGGCTGCCGACAAGACTGCGGGGACTGTGGACCCGGGGGTGGGGTCCCGTCGCTCAGCGGGCACAGGGAGAGGGCTGCCTGGCCGCAGAGGGGCCCAGCCCTGGCGGGGACTCCTGCTCTTACTGTTTAAACTTGATGAGGGTCTTCTCAGCTGGCGTGCCGATGATGTCGTGGATTTTTGAGATCTGGTCCAGCTCGTTGGCCCCGGGGAAGAGGGGCTGCAGGCTGGGGTGACAGGGCTGGGGTGAGGGCGGGCCCGGGCCTCGCCTCCACAGCGTCCGCCCGGCCGCCATCACGTGGAGATTCTGGGGACGAGCCCAGCACGTGGCCGTGCCCCCTTCCCGTGCGTGCGGCGACCTTCCTGCTCCCACCTCCCCAGGGGGCAGCTGCCCACCCCACTGGGACTTCCCCGGCCTCCTGCACCCAGGCCAGCTTTGTGGACAAGGGTTCAGGGCTGGCCAGGTCTGGTTTGGTCAACAAGTGGGTTCCCAAAACATGGGTTTTGGAACTTCTATGAATTTTAGAATTGAGGGTGAGAGGTTTTAGGTCTACATAGATAAATCAAAGCACATCGCCTGACACACCAAGAGTCTGGAAACCCAGCTCTGCCCAGGAGAGGCTGTAGGAGAGGCCGAACCCAAGGCTGCAGGAGAGGCCGAAACGTGGGGGGCAAAGCAGCTCCGAAATGGGAGGCCCGGCGGCAAGGCCTAGCTCAGCCAATATGGCCCCCAGGCTGCCCGCCACTCGGTTCGGATGCCCGGTCCCAGCACACGCCTTCGCCCTTTCCTGATGAATCCGGGGCTCAGTGCATGAGGAATGGTGCTGGTGGCACTTTCCGCATCCACGAAATCGCCACTCGGCTCTCCAGAGCGGTCTAGACCCAGCAGTAGGCGGGCGGTCCCAGGCCTGGGCTGAGTAGGTGAGTCACCGGGATGGCCTCTCCCCTGGCCTTCCCTGGGTCCCATAGCCTGCACCCTCACTGCCCTGAGGGTCAATCCCTCCCCTTTGCTCCCAGGCCACCTTGGGGAGCACCGGGCTTCCGCAGCCAGAATGTACCCCTGAAGGGGCAGAGACTGACCTGAGCTCAGGGCGCCCCTCGGGGCCCTGGCCGACCCCTAGGAGGCGGCGAGCCGGCCTCTGATGGGTCCCGGACCCAGCTGCCCACTGGCCAGGCCTGTGAGTCAGGCGGGAAGGTGTGACGTGGTGCTCGGTTCTCCCTGAGGAGCAGCAGGAACGTCTCACCGGAGGAAACGGAGGCTTAGACGCCGCCGCCAGCGTGGGCAGCCGCGGGTGGGAGGGCGCCCACCTGGTGATCTCGTAGAGCACGCAGCCGGCGCTCCACAGGTCCATCTTGCAGCTGTAGAAGCCATCCGTGAGCAGGCACTCGGGCGCCCGGTACCAGCGGGTGGAGATGTACTCCGTGTATGGCTGCTTGGAGTAGACGCTCCGGCAGGAGCCGAAGTCCCCCAGCTTCAGGACGTCCTGCTGCGGGACGCGGACACCCACATCGCGCAGGGTCCAGCTGCAGGCCGCGGTGGGGGGCAGGGGGTGGCAGGCCGGGGCCTGCAGGGCTGGGGTGTGCTGGTGTGGTGGTGAGGGGTGGCCTGGGTGCCACCCTGTCCAGCGAAACCCACCACCCTGCCGCCCGCTGCGCCCGGCGCGGAGCTCGTGGTACTGTCACCCGAGGAGGCACCTGCGGTTGTTTGCTCCCAACTGTGCAGTCCCAGGGGAGGTAAACAATAGCAGAGGTGCCGGTTATCTGGGGCTGAGAGCCCCGGGGTGGGAGGCCTTAGATTCGCCTTCACCCCGATGCCGGGCTTTCAGATAAAGTTCTTACCTTTATTAATATATTTTCTGGTTTTACATCTCTGTGAAATATTCCGTTTCTGTCCAATATAAAAAGGACAGGATTAACAGCAGCTCGTTCTTTTGCATCCTCGCTGCTGAGTTTGCGAGGAGCGTTGCCGTGTCCCCCGGCACCTACCTGTGCATGTGGTCGAGGGATTTACACAACTGGTACATGTACAACATGACTTTTCTCTCTGATAACGGGTGTCTTCTTCCTGTGCAACAGAGCAGACAGCCAGAGGGTCAGCAGTGGCACAGGCCCCGCTTCGAGCTCAAACGCAGAATCCACTTTATTTAGCAGCATGTGACCATCTGACTTCCTGGAGCGGCCTTAGGAAGCAGGGGACACAGTCCACCCTCCGAGTCTGCGCGGGCCCTGGAGTCCCAGGCACAGTCTGAGGCGTCAGGCCTGGAGGGCCCCAAGCAGCTTCGGAGGCCTGGGGAGCCTTGGCTCCTTCCCCAGGGTTTCCCCCGCTGGGCAGGGGCAGGGGTCGAGGGGCCAGAGCACCACTGAGCACAAGCACCTTCTCTCTGAGACCAGCGAGGCTTTGCCTCCACAGCCCGGTCGTCCCCTGAGGAAGGAAGCCGTGGGCGGCCGAGCCCAGGCCTGACGTCCCAGCTCCTGGCACCGTGTGGCCAGCACCAGTTCTCCCTGAAGGTGTCACGTTTGACTTGGTTTTGGCCTCAAAGGTGTGTGTTTGCAGGTGGGCAAGTGTGAACTCTGCAAAATAACCCTCCCATCTGGCACGCCAGCTCGCCCCCTTCCCTCCCGGAGCAAAGCCCCGTCTGACACGGGGGTCCTAAGTCTGTGATTTCTGTCACCAACGAATGTATTACTGTCCTCACCTCGGGACGCGGCCTGTGTGAGCCTGACAGTAACGGGCCTGAGGCCCGAGGCCCTGGCTTTTCCTTGATGCCATCCCTTTTTATGGTTTCATGTAGCTTGTCTCAGCAGCTTTCCAGTTCTTGAATTTAAGTTCAAGAATCAAATGAAGACCGGGCCAGCTTCCCCAGCTGCCACTTCATTAAAGCCCTCACTCCAGAAAGGAGAGGACGCCCAGGCCCCATCTCTGCCACAGGCCAGCGGGTGCCTCCCGCTGGGGCACCCCCTTCTGCCTCTCCCTCCTCCCAGATGGGCCCTCAGCTCCAGGGCTGGGCCGCCCCACCCCTCACTGGGACAATCGTGCCCATCCTCACCCCCTGTTGCTTATGAAGCTCCTGCCAAACCCAGAGGGGTCTCTGCACCGCCCTGGAAGGGTAATGGTGTCCGGGTCCTCAGGGGCTGCCAGGTTGGCACAGCTGAACCTCACTGGGGCAGAAAGCTGTGGCCACCGTCCTCTGGCTGTGAACTGGGGGAGGTGGACGTTCCAGGAACATCTGCCCCATCCAGTCTTGTCATCACCAAGATGTCTCCCAAGGCCGCAGCCAGGCCCTGAGAGTCAGAGATAGTGCGCCTTGCCTGCGGCCGCCCTGCTGGAGCACATCTTTTCCTCCTCGGCCCCCCTCCCCTTCCCGCTAGCCAGACTCTGAGTGGGGCCCCGGGTCTGAACAACAGAGCGGCTCCCGCAAGCAGAGCTCTCCGGAATCTAAGGACCTGACCTGCCAGCCCGAGACTGCGGCTGGTTCCAGCAGATTCTGGTCCCCAACACCGTGAAACATAAACGCAGCACAAGCACCAAGCTGGCGGGCTCCGTGGCCTGTAGGGTGCCAGTGCCTGGCCACAGGATGCCCTCGTCCGTGTGGCTGTCCTGTTCATCTTTGCCTAATATTCTCACCCAGGAGAGTCTAGGAAACGCCACCCACAGCGCGAGGAACAGGGAGGCTCGGAGGGAAACCACCGTGGCCCTGGCCTTGGCACGGCTGTGCTTCCCTGGTACCCGCCCGCCCCCGCCGCCGCCCGGCCCACCTGCTCAAGCTTGTTTGCCTTTTCCTCCTGGGCTCCTGCCTCGACCTCTCTGTGTGGCCCCCAGGGGAAAAGCCAGCCCCCATGGCTGGGATGCCTGGCCCGTCTGTTGGCAGGGGAGGGTCTCAGGCCTGGGAGTCCGTGTCAGCCAGGAGAGGAGGCGGTGGTAGAGGCCCTGGCGGTAGAGGGATAGAGGCAGGAGCCATGGGCCCGAGGCAGTGGGGCAATAAGGTTGGTGTCCCGGGAGGCCTGAGCACCGACCCTCGAGAGGCCAGGGCTTGCCCACAGACTGCTCCTCTGCACACGAGCTGGCTGGACAGCCACACTGCCCCTGCACTGAGAACGGACTAACGTGTGCACGTCACTCGGGCAGTGTCTGGCACTGGTCCAGAAGCAGACGCCTCGCAACAGGAACTCAGGGCAGGGTCGGTCACAACCTGACACCACAGCAGATGCCGCTATGCCCCGTCCCACCTCACCAGTTCTTCCCTGCAAACTCCGAGTCCCTCCAGCCGCAGCTTGAGCCCAGGGCTGGACGTGCCCGGGCCAGGAACCAGGCTGCTTCTGTGGCCACAATTGTGATCACACTCTGAGGGCCCTCCCTGACGATCTGCCCAGAGTGGGCAGCAGGCCTGCCCCCAGGACAGCAGCGCCCCAGCCCACACCGTCTACGCCTCGTCTGACACCTCCTGGGCAGAGATGATGACCTCTAAGCAACTCATTCTCTCATGGCCTCACTGCAGCTTCTCTCGACAGCACACTACACACGCAGGGCACCAAGAAGTCGCTTCTCTGACCTTCCCCAGACCTCGCGGCGCAGAGCCGATGACTCGGGAGGAACGGGGCCCTGCTCCTTAGCGCCTGTTGACAGGCCGTCATCGCCTGCTTCCAGTGAGGAAGCATTCAGAATGACTCAACATTCTAATGGTCAATATTCCAATAAATCAATACTCTATGATTTGCAGTAGCCATTTGTGTCACTGTCGTCATGCCAGCCATGCCAGCCGCCCTCCGGGCCTCGCGGAGCCTGCGTCGGGCTCTGCTTTCCTTACAGACAGCGCGGGGGCAGCACTTCATCCTGAAGCACCTGGGGCCGCAGCTGAGAGGTGGCGCTGCCGGCCCTCTGGGGTCTGCCTCTTGTTGGGCTCTCCTGCCTCGGTTTCCTCAGCACCGCCCCACAGGGCTGCACTGCAGGTGACAGGGCTACTTTCTGCCAGTGTCCGCAGTAGTCCCTGTGCAGCCACCATGGCCACTTCCTTGGCTGTCACTGGGCCCCAGCTGCCGTGTGCGACCCCTTCTAAGCCTTTTCCTTCCATGAGGTCAGGGAGGACAGTCCCATGTTCAGTGTCTTATACTCAGGCTCCCCCACCCCCTGAATGTCCCAGAAGACAGGCGCCCCTTGCCACGACGGCCCTGAGGTCAGCACCACGGCTGAGATGGCTGTGGAGGGTGAGACCCAGTCTGCAACATGACCGCGTGCCACAGCCTCTCCTCGGCAGGCCTGGAAAGAGTGGGCTCCGTTTCCCTGATTATATGATCCCCTCCTCTTGTGGATTAAAGATGTTCTTTTCTAAACAAGCCTTTTTCAAATGCCAGATACATCGGAACTTGTCAGAAATTATCGTCCCCTCGGGTCTCAAAGCCTCACACTCTGGGAAGCCACAACCAGAGCCCAGGCACTGTCCCCGGCGCTCGCTGGTGGAGGCAACCGAAGGATGTTCCCCTGCGTCTGGCTGTCTGGCCCCCTCCTGACATCCGTCGGGCCGAGCACAGCACCAGCGCAGAGCCGCAGGCAAGGACAGGTCTGAGGAGCAGCCAGAGTCAGGCGGTTAAACAGATGAGCCCACCCCCAGACCCACAGGGCTCTCTCCTGAGTTGAAAATGTCCTGGTCCTGCTGTGGAGGCAACGACAAGGCCACCGCGCCAGCCCTGCCTGGGCCCTCGCCTTGGGGGGCTGGTGGGTGTGCAAGGCCCGGCCTGGCTGGCTGTGCTGCTCTAGCGCTCCTTCCCGCCCTCAGCTCTGTTTGTAAGAGGCTCGCGCCAAGAAACCAGATTGTGAAGTGAGACTCGCCCTCAACGCAAGAGCGAACAGACCCAGAGCGGAGCTTGTCTGTGAGCACACGAGGGGTGCGGCCCGCAAGAAATGCCACCTGGCCCAGGGAGGGCCTCTCCGGTTTCCCCAGAAAGACCCAAAAGGTTTTGTTCCAAAAATTTTAGATCAACATTAGCAGATGTGGGGGATGTGCAGACTTGTTCTTCTTACCTTGCTAGTCACTTACTGAAATGAATTTTAAATCACAAGTAGATGCTTGGGCTGGCAGCTGGGCCCCCGACTTGGTACAGCGGGTCCCTCTGGACCCCCCTCCTATCTTCCACCGGGCAGCAGAGCCCACGCCCGTGACTGAAGTCCAGGCCTCTTCCCCACCACTCCTCCAGTGGCTTCCACAGGTGGCCCAATGCTCACCTGGCTTGACATCCAAGGCCACTGTGCAATTGGCCCCTAAGACCTGCTCTGGGGCTGCCCCCTGCCTCCTTCTCGCTGCCTGGCCCAGGTGACAGCTTTCCTCAACAGCGTCTTTTTTTTTTTTTTTTTTTAAAGATTTGCTTTATTTGTTTATGCATACAAGAGCTGGGGTGCAGGCCAGAGGTGCGGAGGTGAGAGGATTCACCAGAGACAGAGTGAGGAGCAGAGCAGGTAGAGCCACTGAAATACACTGCTGAGGGGGGGCAGTGGGGAGACAGGAGGGGTCTGCTGTGCCTATGGGTCAGCTCCCTGGCCAGGATTGCACTCAGGCCTCAGTGGCTGGGATAGCTGCATAGTGCTGGGACTGACCCCTGCGCCACCAGGGAGACCTCTCAACAGCATCTTAATTCTCAATAGCCAGGCCATGAAGGACACCCCGTGACCCAGAGACAGTGGGGACCACAGGAAAAGGGGCTCATTTCGGCACAAAATATAATGTGGGGCAGCAGTGAAGCCGCACGAGGGCAGCCTGGGAGCAGATGTGCCTGGGTGGCAGCCCTGGGTGGTAGGAGGCCCTGCCCCACTGCCCAGGGCAACCACACCATGCCTGTGGCTCCCGGACCTGGGCTGCGTTCTGAGGGGCTGGGAGGGGAGTGGTCCCCCTGTGTATGTGCTGGGCTTCCTGCCCACAGAGCCCGCCGGGCAGAGCAACGCGGGCCACAAGCTTACCTCGGATTAGCTCATAAATATTCATGTCCATTAGTTCACATATTAGTGCAAGAGAACCAGATTTTCTGTCACTGAAGAAGAAAGCAGGTTTTTAAAATGGTCCTCCTTGTCTTAGGAAACATAATCACACATTCAATTCATTTGTAAACATTTCTGGCGAGCAGAGCACTCCCACGTCAGAGAGAGACTCCAGTGCCGTGAATGAACCGAAGTTTCGATCTTAAGTCATGATTTCAGGTAGAATTACTTTAAAATAATAGTAAAACTGCACTTTAAGCAAAAACCCTCACCCCTTTCCCCTTTTAAAAGAGACATTTTGAAACTACAAGGTTAACTATCAACAGAAATAGGAAATGCAACTGGGGAGGTGAGAAGCAAAATGATCAAAGAAAAAAGAATTCCCTGTGCGTTCTGTGACTACAAGGGTGGGGGTGGGGAGGGCAGCATAAAATCCAAAGACCAGGCAGAAGAAAGGTGAGGACCAGCCGCTTCGCCCCGTGTTAGGGGTTGGGCCTCGCCCTGGAATTAGCCCTGCACAGGTTCCTGGAGTGTCTCATAGGGAGGGGCCTGTGCCACCCCCAGATCCTGCTCCAGAAGGCCTGGAAGGGTCCTGCTGCCCATCGGGTGTGAGGGGCAGGCACAGGCCTGGGAAGCACCAAGCACAGCCGGACTCTGGGCCCAGCCTGAAGGGTGCTGGGAACACGTGGGCCTGCAGGCTACATAGTCTCACGTTGCATTTTGAGTATACAACTGTTCCACCCTCTGATTAAAATCTACCTCACTTGACCATCAGATACTGTTGTCTTCCAGCTGGTCTTAAAGCCTGGGGAGCCACTTGAGGTCCTGGCCCTGCACCTCCCAGGGGCCAGAGCCCAGCCCCAGGCCCCTCTGGGTCCACGGCGCCCTGGGGCCACCATCTCCGGATGGCCAGCTGTGGGGTGGGCAGACCTGACAGGAATGAGTCTACGGCCAGAACAGAGGGCAGGGGTGTCCCTCTGGTGGGCCTTCTCCTGGGCGGTTCTTGACCCAATCAGGCGAGGCCAGCTGAGCTGCAGGTGGGGCCTGCCGAATTAGAAGAGGCCACCCTGAGGAGGCACTGGCTGAGGAGGCACATGCACATGTGTCCACATGAGGACTGTGGCCCCTGGGTTGTGGAGCAGACGCCCACACACTGCCATGCTGTGCTTTCTTAGAGGGAGGTTTGATCAGCAGCCTAATCCTCTCTCTCCAGCCCTGGATATACTCACAAAACCACCTCGTGCAGGGTGAGGATGTTGGGGTGCGGATTCAGGCGCTTCAGGGCTTGGATCTCTCGCAGGTTGTTCACTTGCTCAATGCTGTGGGGGGAAGGACAGAGCCCGTTCACGGGGCCGCTCTGAGATCTGGGTCGCGTCCTGCCTGGGTCATAGCGGAAAGCCTCTCACCACCAAAGAAACAGGGGCCGGCTGGCTCACAGCCCTCCTCCATGACCCCACGGGCCCTGGCAGGCTCCAGGCCCCTGCTCGCTGTTCCCAGTGCATGTCACGCGGTGCTGTCTGAGGAGGCTTAAAGCTAAAGAAGGAGCCTGAGGAGAGAAAGGACCCCAGCTCCACAGGAGCCCTCGGGGCTCCAGGCTGGGCGGAGCGGGGGTCGCCTACCTGGAGGCTTGGGCCTGGCTCCGGCCCCTGGGACGCAGAGTGACCGGGTCCAGTCATTTCCGGGTCTGCACCCTGACCTCGAGCCCCTGGGGCTCGTGAGAAAAGAGGACCATCCCCCACATGCTGCCGCCTTTCTGGTTCAAGGACAATTTTTCACACTTTGAAATCAAGAGTTTGAAATCAAGGTTTCCATCCAGAACACCTCGCAAGGCTCTGCACCAGTGTGGGCAGGCACAGAGCCACTATATACTTTCCAGATTTATAGGCTTTAGGGACTGATTTTTTTTTTTAAGCCGAGCTTCAAATCTCCCCAAGGAGCTTGCCAGCTGCCTTGAGCCAACATTTACTTCCCAGCTGGGAGGCCATCCTGTCACTCTGAAGGTGGGGGCGACACCCGAGGGAACGCGGCCCTGAGGACAGAGGGCTGCAGCAGGAGGGTCTCAGCCAGCACAGCCTCCCTGCCGGGACACTGTTTTTCAGCATAGTCATGGACGCTGATGAGTGAAACCACCAGGACCTCTAGTCCTTCCAGGCGACGCTTCCATCATAGACGCCCTGCACACACAGCCGTGGGGACACAGGGCTGTTTACAGCGAGACATGCTTTCACGGGTACATGACTCCGTGGCCACTGATCACAGCCAGCACGGTGGGGCTGGACATGAGTGACGTCGGTGAATAAACATAAAACCAGGCCCCAGCCAGTCCTCTGCCCGGAGACATCTGACTGAAGTCGGGCGGGGCAGGGGGGCGGGGCAGGACCGCATCTCCCCCCCCCCCCCCCCCGCCCCCAAGTAGCCTGTGCCATGGCCCACCTGTCAAAGTGCTGCTTCATCTGCTTACAGGCGTAGTAGTTTCCGTCTCTCAGGCTCTGCATCTTCATGACTTCGGAAAATGTCCCCTCTCCTATTTTGCCGATCGCTTTATAGTCTATAAAAAGAGACAATTATGAAGTTAGGCTCCCAGGCACGTGCCCTTTCTGCACTCCCCTGCAGCCCTCCGGGTCTCTCGCCTGTGGGGTCATCTAGCCCCAGGAGGCAGAGGAGGCCTGTTCCTACGGTTCTGTGTCACCTTTTTCTAGCAGACACCAGTGTGTTTGCTGGCAGCACCATGCCCCCCAGGCTGCTCCCCCAGAGAGCAGGGAGCAAGGTATTTCAAGACAAAACAACTCAGGTGAGAACTGTTACTTTTCAAGCAGAAATGGAAGGAATGAGGACATTTCAGAAGGCCAAATCTCATCGAGTTGGTAAAACTTCTAAGCCCAAATTATAGGAGAAAGAGGCGGCAAAAAAACAAAAACAAAAACAAAAACAAAAAAAAAACAAAACCCTTTGCAGAAAGCAGTCTGTGAAACTTGCAGCAGAGACCCCAGGAAAGAAAGCCTCCCAACCAGGCACAGACTGTCGCAGAGAACCCCAACGAGGTGGCTGTGGTGGAGAGAGCTGAGACTGGGCCAGGCCAGGAAGCAACAAGTCCTCTTATATAATGTGTCCAGAGAGAACCTTGTGTATGGAACTGACCAGAAGTCTGTGAACCTTCAGTTTCTACCGCAGAAACAGCCTGGACCAAAACAGCCCAGGGGTCCCAAGGCCCCTCAGCACAATACCTCAAGACGGGTGCTTTTAATCCCGAGAGTAAAAGGGCTCTGTTTTTTATAAGCGATAATGTTTCTTAGAAGTGATACGTTTAAAAATGAGAAAAGTCCTTATCTTCTAGTAGGCAATACTGAAGAATTTGCAGGTGAGGTGATAGGACGTGGGGGTTGCTCTGGAATACCGCACATTTCTACTCCTGCTGGGGAGACACAAACTGGCAGAGCCCCGGGGGGCCATTTGACAACATCACTCATCTTTAAGGCTTGGGGTCCCCTCCACCCAGCAATTCCAGTTCTAGAGCTCAGCCTGTGAAGACCCTTGCCCAGCTCTGGATGACATGAAATGCTGGGGCGACATTACTTTACAGGGAAGGAACTCTGGTGACCCACGGCCCCAGTATGGAACTGGATGAATTAAGAATGGAACAGACTAACTATATTTCAAAGATGACACAGACAGAGCCTTAAAATAATGTCCTCAGCCACACACACACACACACACACACACACACACACACACACACACACACACACGGGGGCTGTCTCTGGGGTCCCATCACAGGCGTCTCGTCTACTGTAGCCATGTTCCACAGAGGAGCATAGCTTTATTGAGAAAGCAAAAATAAGAACTAAAGACTCCAAGGGCCTCCCTGGTGGTTCAGCGGGTTGAGCGCTGTAAAAGTGTCCAGCCTTGTATGTAGACCTTGTATTCTACCTGTTGCTTTATGTGTGTTCATGAAAACATGAAAATAATCTCCAACAAAAGAAAATAAGAATGCCTTGTAAAGGGTGAATGAGGAGAATCCTTTTCAACATCTTTGTTACCCAGCCTGTGCCACAGAGTTACCAGTGACAGGAGCCACAGTGCAGGTTCCTCACTGCAGGCCATAGGACAAAGTGTGAGCCCCCCCCCCCCACCAAGCCCTGCCCCAGGCTCTCAACCACAAATGACAGCTGTATCTGCACAGACATGCAAAGAACAATCCAGCTGGTCGCCCTGGGGCTGTGCCCACAGATGCAAGCACAGACAAATTTTCTATCCATTTTGTTACAATTTTAGGATGACAACTTCATTTCCCAACTCCCCAGAAACATTCATTAATTTCACTAAAAGGGGTTTGCAAAATTCCTATAAAAAGACCCAAATATAAAACAAAACACACGGCCCAGTTTTTCTCTGTTGAGGAAACTGATGTCATTCAAAGGCAGAAGCCATACAGCCACGGCTCACACCACCGGACCAGGGACCTTCGAGAGTCTCGCTTCTCTCCAGAATTAAAAAACAAAACAAAACAGGCAAAACCTCGATTCCCGAAACTCACACAGAACCTCGCACCCAAAGGTGCCTCTGTGAGACTCGGGTGGGCGCGGAGAGACCGCCGCCTGCAGACCAGCCCCGAACCGGGAGCGGGCTCTCACAGCCCTGGATTCGGGGACCCAGGCCGCCTAGCGTTCGCAGAAGAGGGTGCCCCGGGCCCTCGGGCCCCCGCCCCAGCCCGCTGTGCGCAGTGCGCGATCCCAGGCTCCCTGCCCCCAACCCCCTATCCCCTGTCCCCGGCCCCCAGCCTCTGTCCCCGACCTCCTGTCTCCTGTCCCCGACCCCCGTCACCTGCCCCCGATCCCCTGTCCCCTGTGCCCGGCCCCCGATCCCCTGCCCCTAATCCCCTGCCCCTCTGTCCCCGGTCTCCCGTCCCGCCTCTTTCCCCCGTCCCGTCCCGGTCCTCAGTCCCCGACCCCACTCACTCTTCATCCTGGATGAGGAAACTGGCGACAACCCCTGGCAGACACCGGACAGCGGGTAACGTGGCAGAAAGGGTGGTCCCCGACTTTCACTCCTCTGAGGCAGGGTCCGGAATGAGGACCTCCTTGGTGGTCCCTGATGGAGAGCGTTAGGATTCGGCCGCCATGTTGTATCCCTGTTACCCTAGCAACCGTCCAGCCCGGACTCCCCGCGGCCCTGCCCGCGCGTGCGCAGACCGCGCCGCCCGTGCGGGCCGCCCGGGTGGACGCGTGAGCGGAGCGGCCCGCCGCTAGGTTGGTTGCTAAGCAACCTCGCGCGCCGGGTCGCGGAGCGCTTCCTCGCGGCGGTCCAGAGAATTTAGCGCTCAGGGACGCGGTGCCGGGCCACGCTTCGGGTTCGCCTGCGCCGGGCACTAACCACCCCCGGCGCCTGGCAGGCTCGTCCTTGGCGCTGCACAAACGCGCGCCCCGGGCGCGTGCGGCCGGGATGCGGGGTCCGCGGGGGGCGGGCCGCGCCGGTGCACGTGCTGGGCCCTCCCGAGCCCGCCGCGTCGCGCCGAGACAGCGGCTGAGCACACGGCAGAGCGTTCCGGGAACTTCGTGGTCATTTATTTCACCCCCACAACTGCTGCACGAGATCAGGTAGCTCTGCTGCGTTCTGTTTAATTTCTGCAGTTAAGTAAATCATGTCTACTGTGTGAAAAAAAAATCAGAAGCATAGAGAGGAAATTTGGAAATAACCCCTTCAAAGCATTTCCAGACCCAGAGTTAACCCCTGGCAATAATGGAGTGGCATCTTTTCAGAATTCCTATGTATGGATTTGGACTGATTTGCCCCAGAATTGAAAGTCATAGTGATCTATAACTAGCTTTTTTTCACTTACTATTTCCAAGTCACCTCTTAATAGCAGCATTTGTGGAGCTGTTTTGTGCTTCTCGACTGCGCGTACCTGTTGTATGGCCTGCTCTCATTTTTCTAACCATTTCCCTATTGGCATTTCATCTATATCTATCTCTATATCTATAGTTATATATATGTTGAAGGCTACATTTTAAAAGGACAGGCTTATCAGGAAAGGGAGAAAAAGGCACCTGCACAGTCACAGGTGGGCGGGAGGGCTGATCACTTCCTGTAGTTTTGCTACTACAAACAATACTTCAGAAAATACCCTTGTCGCATCTTTGACATGGCGTGACTGTTCTGCAGGGAAGGGTAGGTGAAAGGCAGCTGCAGTTAAAACATGGACTGATCAAACCGCTGCTCCCAGCACTGCCCCACTGCAGACAGATGACTGCTCTGTGCTTGCATCCCCAGGCCCCACACTCACGAGGATGCTGGATATTGCCCGCTGAGATTAAGAAGTCGTTCAGGAAGAGATTAAATGTCACAGCATGAACTTGCTCATGGTTCACAAAGCCTCTCTCTAGTCCTCCCTCCAGGACACAATTTATCTAAGCCCAGGATGGGCCTCCGACAGACCAGCCCTCATACCTGCAAAGCTGGGCTGGCCATTTCTCAGCCAGCCCTGCCACCCTCTTCGTGCCAGCTCAGCCAGGGCCACTAACGTGGGGGTGATTCCACTGCACACTTTCTTCCTTGCTTCCCCACTACGTGTCTCTCAGATGTGCACCCCTTATTCACTGGGCCCCTACGATGGGCAGTGAGGTATGTCTAGTGGTATAATCTCTAAACATTGCACAGTAGCCGGCCCTGTATATACCCCACTGCTGTATTCATCCCTCGGGGATTCCCCAAGTGGAGGCTCCCATGTAAAGGGGAGGATTATACTTTGAAACTCTTTTAACTTCTCTTTTTTTAATGGAGCCAAAATTCACTGACATAGAATTAAGGATTTTGAAGTGTGACATTTAATGTAGTCACAATATCCTGCTAACATCGTCTCTATTTCCAAAGCATTTTCATCATCATTACCAAAGGAGAGGCCATACCCAGGAAGCAGTCTCAACATCATAATGCTAGGGGAAAGAGGAAGGATCAGCCTCCCCCAAATGTTCAGAGAGGTTTTCCCCAAGATGTCCAGAACAGGCTCTTTTTAATACATGTCATCTTGGCTTGTGGAACAAGATCAGTTGAGGCCTGTAGGTGTCCGGAGAAGCATAGCATGACCTGAAGGAACGAGATTATCTAGATTTGGGAACGTCTTCAGAAATAACCTTTTCATGGGAGAAATCTCTCTTTAGGCAAGACAAGTGCCCCCCTCATCAGGGGAACCCCCTCCTCTCTCCTTGGCTCCCGGCTCCTATCCTACTCCTCAGCTCAGGACACAAACCCCCAGTTTGTCCCATTGGCTTAAAAATTGTCAACCATGTAAATTCTCCATACGGAGGTAATCGGTTTGGTCTTTTGCTCCTGTGGCTCTGTCTGGTGTCAGGTTGTCTGCTTGTCTAGCTCAGAAAGAAGCCGGGGTAGGGCGTAGGTTGTCCTGCACCCCAGCAGAAGCCAGACACTAAGGGCCACATGTTGTATGATTTCATTTCTAGGAAATGTTCAGAAAGGCCAGGTCCATATCCACGGGAAGTGGACCTGAGGTGGCCGGGGGCTGCGGGGGTGGGCAAGGGAGTCAGCGTGGATGTCAGTGGTGATGGCTGCACGGCTTCGTGCGTCACTGAACACCACTGAGTTGTGAACTATGGAAAGGCTAGAACGATATGTTATATGAATTTCATCTCAAAATAAATTGGGGAAAAAATTTGGTTAATCCCAATAAAAAAAATAGGCAGGAGAGCTAAACTGGCACTGGCACTTCTCCAAAGAAGGCATAAAGAGCAGATGGGGCCGCGGGTACATGGGGGAAAAGCTCCTACCACTTATCATCAGGGAAATGCAAAGCAAAACCACAGCGAGAAACCCCCTCACACCTGTGAGAATGGCCCAGCTCAAAGAGACCAGGAATAAGAGTTGGTGAGGATATAGTGTGGGAATGCAGACTGTCCAGCCCCTGTGGGAAACAGTGTAGAAGCTTCCGAGGACTGACAGTGGATCTGTCATACGACCCAGTAATTCCCACCCAAAGAACACAAAAACACTGTTGGAAAGGAAACCTGCACTCCATATCATCGCTGCACTGTTTCCAATGGCCAAGCTGTGGAAACAACCTAAGTGCCCTCACAAAGATGAGTGTGGTGTGTTTGTACACAGAGAAATACTGCTCAGCCATCAGAAAAACCTCAGGCCATTTGGGCAACAGGGAGCCCTTCCCTGCTGGAAGCCGGGAAACAAACCAGAAGGAGAAAGACCAACACTGATGGAATCAGAGAAAACAAAGGGTCAGATAAAGTCAAACTTAAAAATGAGCCCTTGAAAGCTGATCACAGATAGAGCTGAGGCCTGGGGAGGAAGGGGGAGCGCCAAGAGGGGAGGGAGCACAGTGGCTGCGCTGGATGCGAGCTGTGCCAGGAGAAGGGGAGGGGAACGGGTGGCCCAGGAGCTTAGCTGGCAGAAGGGGGAACTTGTGAGAGGAGCGGGCTGTGCTCCTCAAGCCGCAACTTGATTGACCATCTCCTGGTTTCAGGTGATTCCAGCTGGCAAAGCTCAGCTTGCAGGGCCTCACCCCAAGTCTCTGGGTGTGGCTCTGGGGTGGGGCTGGAGGCTGTGCCGCTCTGACAGATCCTTGCACCAATGAGCATGCTCGGAAAAGCACCGGCTAGATGGCTCGGCCTTTCATTCTAAATAGACTTGGAAATGTGCTTCTGAAAAGAAAAGGCACAGCTGGGGAGCTTCTCTGTCACCACCCCATGGGGGCAGACAGCTCAGGCTTCCGCCTGCGGCCTGCCCTCCTACTTGGTTGGAATAAATGACAAGAATTGACAGGTGAGGAACCATAGGCTGTGAGCTGGGGGGGAGGATGCGGGGGGGGGGGGCTTTTGGGAGGTGGGGAGGCGTCCTGGGGACCCCTGGCCTGCCCAGCACACCCAGTGCCGCTGCTGGCCTCCATGGCCGCTGCAGAGAGCTTGTGAGCCGGGGCCACCTGGCCTCTCAGCGCTCCCCTCTGAACACTCCGCAAGAGCATCCCCTAACTACAGCCACTCAGGCTTCTTGGCCCATTGTACAAGGGTCTCCAACTCGCCCCTGTCAGCTCTTCCCTGCTGTCCAACGTCAAGGGACTTGGCCAAGAGACTGTGTTTAGCTGACAACATGTTAATCGCGATTAACACATTAATCAATGTGTTCAATGAGCGTGCCAAGCGATGTTCTAAGCAGGCAACGGGCAAAAGTTAGAAAAATCAGAGGTGGCAGGTACGTAAATGTGTTAACATTGGGACGGAGGGTAAAATACAAACCCAACTCAAGATTTGAGAAACTGGACTCATTTTAGAAAATAAACATGACTGAGAGGAAACCAAGCTGGGACAGGAGCGTGACAGGAGGAGGAGCGAGAACATGGGCCTCAGATTAACACCAAGAAGGGCGGGGCCGAGGGGGACCCCAGAGCTTGGTCCTGGTGGGTCAGAGCCAGTAACCGCTGGGCTGGCCTGAGAAACAGGTGCTTGGACCACAGATTTTTTGTTTAAATGGAAGAAAAGTTTCCAAAAAGGAAGTCAGCTACCAGCTCAGCCCCTGAAGTCGGCAGGGTTGAGCGAGTCGCACAGGTGACCCAACCGAGCACAGGACCCTGTTCTCTCCCTCCTATAAACGGCGATAAAGAGACCTAAAGGGTCTTAGTGAACTACCTGAGCAACTTGCATGTATCAGGTGTCTTGAGCAGAGTCCAGTGCGAGGCCAGGAGCAGATGCCCAACTGCCTCCGGGAATCCAGAAGCACCGCTTGCCTCTCGCCACTGCCCCGCCCGGGCTGCCAGATCACACAGCATCCCGGACAGTCGCTAACCCCTGGCAGGCAGGAATTAACCCAGGGCTGGATGTCATGTGGCTCTTGCTGGAGACCCACAGAGGGGAAGGGCTTGGCCGGTGTTGCCTCAGGTGGTGGCCACCTCAGCTTGGCCAGGATCCAGGTCTCTGACCTCCTGTGCCACCACAGTTCTCTCCGATATCCAAGAGACCTTTGCAGAAGCATCGCGATTAATGTGCATGCTTTAAGGAAGGACAATTTTTTTCAAGTTTCTGGAACCAACTGATTGTTGTTGCAAATTAGACGCAGCATCTGAAAAATTCGTCTGTTTGCCTATTTTTCCTGTGCATTGTCTCACAGCTTTGACACAGTACATATTGTCCCAGGAGGCAATTCATTTCTGTTTTTTTGTTCGCCTCCCT